CGACCACATTTTTGGGTACAACACAATGCAAAAAACTCTTTCTTTCTTGCCATCCATGTCGAATACTGCGTCTCTACAACTTCTACTATCTCGCCCCCCCATCCTCGATTCTCGCGATCTTCACTCTTCTCACCGCGGGCGGAGCCGCGGCGGGTCCACTTGCTACCATTATATGTAATGCTTAATAAGAGGAGACGAGATTGTGTGATGGAGATGATGATGGCCAGAGGAGGGAGATGGCATTGGTTTAGTCTTAGGCTCTTCTTCTTTTTCTTTCTTCCTTCAATCTTCTTGAATTGCGAAGTATGGCATAGTCTCAAAGTCAAGTCTAATATGAATGCAAAGTTTTCTTCTATCTCAGAATTTTTGCGATTTGATATTGAACATCAGATATTGACACCTAAAACTCTGGTGAAAATGAGACAAGAGTGGAGCTTAGAATCAATAATGCCCACCCACAGCACCAGAAGATGGAGCATTTGGAGACTTTTTCATGGGAAGTCATCCATCATCAAGAAATTGACCTCAAGCAATATGCACTCGTCCTTCAGCAAGGGCATCCACCACCATCTTTTGCAAGGTGGGCAGCAATCACCATATCGGACAACATTACGATCAATGACATTCCTAAACTGAAAACATTCACGATGTTGAGCTGCAGGGACATATTTAGCAATGTTGGCGTAAATGGTAGAAAATCAATGCACTTACAAAGAAGTTAACTGTGTAAGAAGTCCTACTTCAGGCGGCAGATACCCCTTGAATCCCTTCTTTGCCATGCTCCTGTGAAGACACAACACTCATCAGTCAAACATTTGTGGGGCATATACTACCACAATTTAACATGAGCATTCTGCAGCTAGTTCTCTAGGATTTGAAAGGCCAAAATTGTTGGCTTCACTTCAAAAGTGGACGACAATGGACATGACTGAAAAACAACGCTATCGTATATAAGGGAATATTCATTCGATTATCCTTGACATGTGATGACCCAACCAAACACGGACTCAAACACACAGCTGATTTCTGAGTTTTGCTCATGGACTGAATGCCTTGCTGAGTTTCCCGCTTGCTACTAAGTTCTCTAACTCTGTGTGTGTGCACGCTTGCTGGTCTGCATGTCTGTCTGAGTGCTTGATGGCTTGTGTGTGTGACCCGCAAGGGCACTTGTTCGTTCGTTGGGCCCTCACGGCCGGTAATAACCTGTGGCCGTGACATTGAGGATTGCAGCAGGGAAAACACTCTAGTGGCGGGGGAAAGGCCCGCAACACTTGAAGCAGGGGGGAAACACTCAAGTAGCAGGTAGGCTGGCACCACACCCTGAAGAGGTAGATGTGCCGGGTACTTGAGGCCGAGCAGAAGAAGACAAAAGTGGCATTTTTAGCGGCCCAGTAGTTGTAGGCTAGGTCTAGGCGGGTACCAGTCCAACCAGTCTGAGTCTAGGGTCTGTACGGGCAATATCAGAGTCTAGGGCCTGTACGGGCAATATCAGAGTCTAGGGCCTGTACGGGCAATATCAGAGTCTGCAATGATGTTTCCATTCAAAAGGGAGGAGGTACCGGTTGCTTGGAAGGCCGAGCAGCCTGGAAGTCACCACCCAAGAGGCAAGCAGGCCGCTATATCTCCAGGCCGGGTGAAGAGCCCAGCCTCATTGTCGGTGTGCAAGTTTGGCGACACACTGGTTGGAACGCTGGCGGGAGCAACACTAGCTTGGAGCAGCGCTGCTGGGGAAGGAGCAAGGACACGGAGGAAGGAGAAGACCAGGATGTAGGGGGAGCGCCAGAGGTACTTACCTGGCTATGGTGTCAGCCATCTTCACCACCGTGGCGGGTGCTGCAGCAGGAAGACCCCAGTTGGGGAAGAGCTACACCAAGAAGCTTTGAGGCAGAGTCGGGCATGGCGGGCTGAGCTAGAGCAGCCCTAGCTGCTTTCGGTTGTCCTTTGGACATCAGGGCAAGGCCCTAGTAGTCCACCATAGCCTCGGCCTATAAGAGTGAAGAGTGAGAGAGGCGGCCATGGCTATGGTCGAGCTCAAGTGATACCTGCAGTAGAAGAGGGATTCGGACATTGATTCTGGTTCAGCCATTCAAATTGTACTATTATTTCTTGTGTGAATAAGAGAGGAGGAGATAAGGAGGGGGAGAGTGTTTGGCGAAGAAGAAGAGAATTATCATTTGTCTATGCTGCTGTACATCATCTTCTTCTTCTTTCTTTCTTCTTCTTCTTCTTCTTACCCTCTCTCTCCTCTCAAGTTCATTCATTTCTCTTTGCAATTGGACGGCATTGTACTAGTTGATGAATATGTACTTCGAAATTGGCCAGGATCATAATAGACATGTTCATTTGTATGTTCCACCAGTCTGCATAATATTGGCTTTTACTTGCAATCGCGTTCTGGGCTGCAGCAGCATAAGCAGAATGCTGGGACTTCGCACAACTGTTAGCTGACGACGTACCATCCTCTGTATGTACTTTAACAACTACAGGTATGTATATCATGTGTTTACAGCTCTGCAAGGTTGAGGTCCTTCTCTGCAATATTGATTCCTGCTGCAGATTTCAATAAAAGCTAGGGGCAAACATGGACTTTGTAGACCAAGAGAATCAGAAAAGTATCTGGTCAGTTCTCAATGCAAAACTCACAAAGGGACAGTGCCACTCAATTGCAACTCAAATATAACAGATTAGAAGACGAATAGGACAAGGCAAGGGGTATGAGTGCAGAGAGTGGTTGGCGTTGACCTCGCTTAGTGCGTAGTTTGCCGATGTTGAATCCTTGATGTGATTGCAGATATGTTTTATGAGTTGAAGTTCAAATCTAACTTTGTTTGCGATCATATGTATATTTTTGAAGGGAGTCACACTGTGATTGTGAGAATGATCGCCTCGTGTCCTATAAACCTATTGTGTGTATATGTATATCTATATCTATCTATATATATAGATATGTACATACCGTGCACCCGCGCGGTCTACTATGACCGTACGTAGTGATTAGATCGATTAGCTTTGAGAAAAAAGGAAGATCTCTTTCTACCTTTTTCTTCTTACATATTTTATAGTTGGACGTTATGATCCGTGGCGGTTATCAAAGCCAAACCCCTTGACCTGTTTCTAGACCCTAGATGATGGAGTCTTATTTCCTGGGTAGGAGGTGTTTAACCACCACAAAGGGTCGAAACCCGCCTACCCCTCTTCTCCGTAAGGGGGGCAGAAGAGTGTAGGTCGTGCAATCGCACTTCCGATTACCTAGCGCCGAGAGATTAACCCCTCAATGCACGTGCCAGCTGACACTCGAGTGTCAAAGACGACCCTCGAAGTCATCAAGGTCCACATGGTCATAGGAAGCACATAGTATGCCATCTGTGCGACTGCGCGCGTACTCATGCATGGCTAGTCGGTATGACAAAGCCTACCTAGCCGCGATATTTATT